ACGTGACCTCTGCTACGTCAGCCTTAGGACTTGGATGAGAAGCAAGCCCAAGGCCTCCCTGGGGGCCGGGCGAGGTCAGGGGGCAAGGGGCCACAGGACTGAATGCTCTGGAGTGTCCACAGGACTGGCAGAGGCCCCCGCGGCCCTGCGTGGAGGGCCGCAGCCACGCGGAGCTCCAGTGCTCTCCTCCGCCCCACCGTAATGGAGGAGACGCGGGGACTCACCAAATCAACACCCACCAGGCCTCATGCCACGTGGGAGCCCAGCTCATTTGAAATTGGGGGAGGGGGGTCTCTGTGAGGAGGGGAAGGCTGGGGGTGGAGGCCCAACAGGAAGGGTTAAGAGTCCCTGGCTTACACCTGCCATGCAGCTAAAAGCTTTGTGGGAGACCTCTGCCTCCAGGTCCTCACCCAGCAAGGGCTGCAGTACCCGAGGGCGATCTGATGACCGCGGGAGCAAGTGACGTAGAAAGCCCGCTGGGCCTCGGGGGCACAGGGGGTGCTGGGAGGGAGGGCACAGGGGGTGGAGGGAGGGAGGGCACAGGGGGTGCTGGGAGGGAGGGCACAGGGGGTGCTGGGAGGGAGGGAGGGCCGCTGGGCCTCGGGGGCACAGGGGGTGGAGGGAGGGAGAGCACAGGGGGTGGAGGGAGGGCACAGGGGGTGGAGGGAGGGCACAGGGGGTGCTGGGAGGGAGGGCACAGGGGGTGCTGGGAGGGAGGGCACAGGGGGTGCTGGGAGGGAGGGAGGGCCGCTGGGCCTCGGGGGCACAGGGGGTGGAGGGAGGGAGAGCACAGGGGGTGGAGGGAGGGCACAGGGGGTGCTGGGAGGGAGGGAGGGCCGCTGGGCCTCGGGGGCACAGGGGGTGCTGGGAGGGAGGGCACAGGGGGTGGAGGGAGGGCACAGGGGGTGCTGGGAGGGAGGGAGGGCCGCTGGGCCTCAGGGGCACAGGGGGTGCTGGGAGGGAGAACACAGGGGGTGGAGGGAGGGCACAGGGGGTGGAGGGAGGGCACAGGGGGTGCTGGGAGGGAGGGAGGGCCGCTGGGCCTCAGGGGCACAGGCGGTGCTGGGAGGGAGGGCACAGGGGGTGGAGGGAGGGCACAGGGGGTGGAGGGAGGGCACAGGGGGTGCTGGGAGGGAGGGAGGGCCGCTGGGCCTCGGGGGCACAGGGGGTGCTGGGAGGGAGGGAGGGCCGCTGGGCCTCGGGGGCACAGGGGGTGCTGGGAGGGAGGGAGGGCCGCTGGGCCTCGGGGGCACAGGGGGTGCTGGGAGGGAGGGAGGGCTGCTGGGCCTCGGGGCCTCAGGGGGTGCTGGGAGGGAGGGCCTGGTGGGAAGGGCGTGCTCCACCCTGGGGACGCAGCCCATCCGAGCAGGGCTCCCCAGGCCCTGGGGGACTTGGGAGTGTGGGCCAAGACCCTGACTCGGGGCCGCTCCCAGGCAGCGGCCAGCTCTCAGGCCCGGGTCCCCTGCGTGCCTCTGTGAGGTCTGGATTTCACAGTGAGCACAAGAACCGCTGTGCCTCCCTTTCGTCCTCTTGGGATAGACATGGATGTTTCCATGTTAGCCACTGTTCATGGCCAGAAGGACGTGCTCCTTCGTGCCAGCACAAGAAGAAATTGGCTCTTTGCTGGCGTTCATTCTCTGCCGCACTTGTGTCTCTCAGCCCACAGGGAGGCCGGAGGCCAGAGGCCACCAGGCAGATTTGTTATCCCTGGAAGCCTCCACCTGCTGGTGGCCAGCCTCCTGACACTTGTCCCCACCATGGTCACCCGTGGGTTTTATCTCTGCACTGCTGTCTGTCATCAGATGACCCTCTGTAGAGCAGCCAGGCCCCAGGGCTCTGGCCATAGGGTGGTGTGAAGATGGGGGGGCGTGTCCTCACACAGGGCCCTAGCCGGGACCTCCAGGACCTGGGCATGGGAGGCGTTCCTCCCCCCACTCCCTGAGCTCAGAGGCCCACCAGGGCCTCCTGGGCTCCTAGGGGACCAGCCAGCCGCCTCAGACAAAGAGACCCAATGACTGGTTGTGATCCGTGTCCTCATTTTAAAGGAATACGGACTTGGGATGCACTGAACTCGTAACTTGGTTTTCTTTTCCTAAAGAGCTTCCCCACCCATCTTTAAGGTCCTGTCAGGCTCACCCTTCTAGGCTCAGGACGCTCACCGTGGAACCCGTGCGGGAGACGTCCCACAGGCCCGGACAGTTGCACCGCTAACTACCTACAGAGAGCAGCCGTGGCTGGCGTGGCCCCAGGGCATCCCAGGGCTCAGCTTAGCTGAGAGACAGCACATTTCCCTTCCACGCGGGGCCTGAGGTGATGGCAGGATGCGGAGGAGGGCCGCGCCAAGCCCCAGCGGCTCAGGCTGTCCTGGTGGGGCAGGGACGCCAGAGCTCACCACACCCTGTGTGGTGAGGCACCAGCCCTGGGGGCCCAGAGGACCCCTGGGGGGAGGGGGCAGGTGCAGCCGTGGGCGTCGCCTGGAACTCGGCTTCCAAGGGACCAGGAGACGAGGCTAGCCCTGACATGGAGGCAGGCTGCACGCGAGTCCCTGGGCGGGTCTGCGTCCAGTGCTGAAATGCGGGGAGAGCGGGGCCTGCCCAGGACAAGGGGGGGGCACGGGACCTGCCCAGGACAAGGGGGCGCGGGGGTGGCAGCTGTGTCTCTTGGAGCACACTTTTCCCCAGGGAGAAGGAGACTGCGTGAGACGTGATCCTCCACACTGCACATGAAGATGCGTCTCACAGGTAGGGTCTGAATGGATTTATTTCTGTGATCTTGTCCACCTCACAGCGTCTGATGACTTTAAGGGGAACCTGTCTGCCTGCACGTGTCGGCTGGAGACGCAGACGCCCCACAACAGCACAGCCACGCCCACCTCGGGCACCGACCTCACAGCGAGCAGTTACAGAGGAGGGAGGACCAATACCAGCATGGGCTGGCCAACCGCTTCCTGGCTGGAACCTCTGGCCGCCTCTCCGTGGGGCTCTGGTCCACACTGATCTCACGTGGGCCGAGGGCTCGGCCCAGCGAACACAGGCGGCTGCCCACGCCTGAGCTCACGGCTGGGGACCAGGGCTCGGCGCCCACAGGAGGGAGACGGTCCGGAGCAGGGAGGGCTGCTGTGGAGGGCAGGCCCCAGACACCACACGGGACACAGGAGCTCCGGGTCTACATTGGGCCCCAGACACCACACGGGACACAGGAGCTCTGGTCTACATCGGGCCCCAGACACCACACGGGACACAGGAGCTCCGGTCTACATCGGCAGTTTATTTATTGTAAGGAGCACGTACTGACAGCCAGCCAACATCAGGCACTGAGCAACCAGGGGTTTGGCCTGCAGGGGCCTCGGTCTCTGTAAAGCGACAGTCGGTGACATGGGAATGGATGGCCATCCCTGGGACCAGGCCAGTGGCTGAAGCCACATCAGGGCTGTTGTAAGTGTCTAGGAAGGCAGGGATGGACGAGGTTGGAGGGAAGTCAGGACCGGACAGGCCCCGCATCCAGGATGACGTGCAGTGTGGAGGCAGTACCAGGCAGAAGGCGGGCGCAGCTGCAGGGCTGGCTGTGGCCGCACAGGTGCCTCTGCTGCCGGTCTGTGAGGGCAGACCCTGCACCGGGGCTGACACCCAGCACCAAGCAAGCCTGGGCGGTGCTGCAGTGTTGTTCAGCAAACAGGAAAGGAGTGGATTTTCATGCCATTTTCTACGTTGCTTTAGTAGCTGTGCTGCCCAAATGAGCACTCTACATTGCTTTAGGACATGACTTTTCTTTATAAAACCTAGGTCTTCTTTACAATGATCAGGTTTCTGTCAACCATGCTGCAAGTTTAATCAGGCCTTTCAGAAAAGGATTCAGTGTTTTCTTTTGCATGAAGTATTGTACATTGTCCCAAGGAAGGGATGAAGCCCTGGAGCGGGGAGAGCTGCAGGACGCGGCGTGGCAGCTGGCCGGGTCAGCCCCGGCAGGCCCCGGAGCTCAGGTTCACAGACTGACACCCACACGGTGGTAGGGTCACTCGACAAAACCCGAAAGGCTTCTCTGACTGGCCTGAGGAGACAGTGACCCGGGGCCTCACAGCGGCTTAACGTCCCGAGATGCTCTTCTCAGTGAGCCTACTGCAAAGGTTTCAGAGACTGAAACCTTCAAAGCATGTTTTACTAAGCCGCCCGGGGGGCCGCTTCCCTTTGAAATCACACGAATCTCGTCCATTTTCAGACAAAGAAGCCACAATGCAAAACCTTTGTGGACAAGGCCGAGCTGACCCAAAACACAGGAATCCCACAACCGCCTACCTGCTCCCGCACACACTGCCCCCGGCCTGTGCCCGTGAGGCTCAGGATGCCTGGACCCTCTTTTCTACTATCTGATGCAGTGAGCAAACACCAAAAATGGCTTTTTCTTGGGAAAAAATGTCTTTAAAAGTTTAAAAGGTTTTGAACGAAAAGGAGCCCTTCCCCAAGTATGTGAAAGGGTGGTCAGACTAAGCGGTAGCACTTCCACCCCCACGCACATCTCCCAGGGACAGAGTGTGCACAGCAGCGGCACTGGCAAACCGGCGCCCCGTGTCCCTGCCCTCCCCCCCCCCCCCCCCCCCCCCCCGCCACGGCAGGCTCTGGCCTCCGGGCTGAACAGCCAAGGTTTATTCCTAAAGCCACCTACAAAACATCTGTTAGCATTTTGCTTTCGCCCTTAAAGCTCCATAGATGTAAGCACACACCAACACTGCCTCAGCTTCTGAGAGGAGAGCCGCGGGGCTGCTGCATGTTCACAAGGTGCACGAGAGCCAGCGAAACCGCAAGTCCCAACACGCATCAGTAGTAAAGGAAACACAACCTGGGCTTCCGTTCGAGAGGTGGCGACTGCCCCGGGAGATCACACAACATAAGCGTACGGTACGGCCGCAGTGCGTTAAACGGAATCATCTCCAGGCTTCTGTGTCTTTTAGAAAAAGCACCCCCTCTGCTCGCGTTCAGCATTTACGGTTAGAAAGACAGCGTTACCATTAGCAGGCAGGTAGGTAAAATGCTGGTACTGGCTTCGCTTCCTCTTCCCATTGCAGACGTAGAAGCTGACTTGGACGGGGCTGGTTATCCTCTGGTTCCGGAAAGGCGGTATCTCAACCACCAGGGAATTCTGGTGAGAAACAGGAAGGGGAAGCAGACAGTTAGCACCTCACTCACCAGGAGCGCCGGCTCTCAGGAACCTGAACTGCGCATGCTGCCTGGCACGGGCCAAGCACCAGGAGCCTCGCACGGGCGCGACGGCCTCACCACCGGTGCCCATGTGCCCAGCAAGCTGTGGCCCGGTGTGCGTCACAGGGAAGGGGCGTCCTGGGCGGCTTGCTTGTCTAGATGCAGGGGGGCCGTCATGACAGAGCCGGGCCTGGGGCAGAGCCGGGCCCGGGGCAAAAGCCTGGGGCACCAACAGTGAGTGTCTGACTCCGAGCTAAGGCTGCCTCACTCCCCAAGCTGGGGCTACAGGAGGTGCCCAGGCCTGTGCCTGCCCCAGCACCCGGGCTCAGCGATGATCTGAAGGGAAAGGCCGCCGAGGCCAAGGTGGGACACCTGCCTCTGGGGAGGGGAGCTGACGAGGGCCGCGATGCCCCATCTGATCCCAAACTCACTCACACCAGGGAAGACGAGGCCCAGAGAGCCAGGGTGTCTAGGGGACAGGCAGGTGGGACGCAGGGGCTCATGGGGTAGTTCTTCCCTTTCCTTTCAGCCACGAGTACTTGGGACCCAGTGGGAAAACCAGGACTGGGGAGGAGATCCCAGAGCAGGGCCAGCCTGTGGGCAGGTGCGCCTGATTTCTGTGCCAGATTTCAAGTCTAGCGTTTCTTCATTTTAATCATGTGATTTCCGCTTAGTAATCAAAGAAAGTGTGTAAGAAGAATCCATTGTATCATTTCTTTTGTTAAAATCATTACTGGCAGCTTATTACAATTGTAGCAACATTTACTGACTCCTCAAAAGAATTTCAGGCCAAACTCCCTGCATTTGCCGATGAAGACGTATGCCCAGATTTCACCCCTGGACCACTCCCTCCGCTCCGAGTTTTTTGTTTGTTGTTTTCATTAACTGCCCTACAGCAGAGTCAGGTATCTGCCAGCACGCCGACCCCGGGGAGGAGCTGCTCAGGAGGTCTGCTGGCCAGTGGCCCCCACCACAGCCTCCAGGGGAGAGAGGGACTCCACAGACAACAACGAGAGGACACAGAGAGGACTCAGGCGTGCCGCTCAGGCTGAGGCCCGGTGAGAGGGAGGGGCCTGGACAAACCCCCGCAGGACAGGCTCCTCCCCAGGGCCAGACACCCCAGCACACCCCTGAGGTACTGTCGTGTGGCTGGCATAGACCAGGGCGCTCCAGTTCTAAAACAGATGAGCCTCAAATGTAAACACCGCCTCTGTGGCAGCTCCACACTCGAACATGGACAAGGACGCAGGGGAGAGGCAAAAGCAGGTCAGTGAGGTGACAGGAAGACCAGGCTGACGGGCACTGGCTGCGGCTGGCCACAGCACAACAGGAGCGGCTGTGTGTGTGCGGGTCCGGGGCTGGAGCTCAGGGGCCGGGCTCCATCCTGGGACTCTGCTCAAGGCTAGCATTCTACCACTTGAGTCACGGCTCCACTTCTGGCTTTCTGATGGTTAACTGAGCATGAGGGTCTCATGGATTGTCCTGCCAGGATCCTCAGATCTTACTCTGCTGAATAATGAGGATTACAGGCATGAGCCACTGGTGCCCATCCCAGACCATGTGCTTAATTACAGACAGTGGGTATCAAGTACATACACAGGCCAAGCCTATTTGTCTAAAAAATATCTAAAAATATCTAAAAAATACCACACATATCTGTGGATGAGTGTATGTTGCATGGATGTATATATGGTGTTGTGCACATGTGCATATTATGAGTATATGTGTGGTATGCATGCATGTGCATGCATGAGGAGTGTGGATGTATGTATATATGTATAGTTGCGCATGTGTGAGTGTGTGTCTGCATGCATGTGTGCCAGTGCATGCGTGTCAGTGCCTCAGTGTGGGTGTGTGCATGTGTAAGTATGTAGGTGTGTGTGTATGTGTGTCTCTGGGTGTGCATTGTGTACCCATATTCACATCCCTGCTCCCCAGACCTGGGAATTTTCTCAAGAAGGAATGCTTGAATCAGAGCTAAGGCTCCCATGTGGCATGAGCACCGGGCAAGAGGCACCCAGAAGGTCAGCGTCTGCCCGGCCAAGATGGACTCGGTCCATCTCAGAAAGGCCTCAGGCGATTGGCTTAGGAAGGCCGCTGGTGATTAGATACCACCTGGAAGAGGGGCTTGGGTTTCAGAGAAAAAGATGTATCCTTCTGATGGAGCTCTGCCTGGGCAGAGGGGGAGCCTGGGTCCGTGTTCGCGTGACACTCGCGGGAGCCTGGGTCCGTGTTCACGTGACACTCGCGGGAGCCTGGGTCCGTGTTCGCGCGACACTCGCGGGAGCCTGGGTCCATGTTCGCGCGACACTCGCGGGAGCCTGGGTCCGTGTTCGCGTGACACTCGCGGGAGCCTGGGTCCGTGTTCGCGTGACACTCGGAGCCTGGGTCCGTGTTCGCGCGACACTCGCGGGAGCCTGGGTCCGTGTTCACGTGACACTCGCGGGAGCCTGGGTCCGTGTTCGTGTGACACTCGTGGGAGGCTGGGTCCGTGTTCGCGTGACACTCACGAGGGCCTGGGTCCGTGTTCGCGTGACACTCGCGGGAGCCTGGGTCCGTGTTCTCACGACACTCGCGGGAGCCTGGGTCCGTGTTCATGTGACACTCGCGGGAGCCTGGGTCCGTGTTCGCGCGACACTCGCGGGAGCCTGGGTCCGTGTTCACGTGACACTCGCGGGAGCCTGGGTCCGTGTTCGCGCGGTACTCGCGGGAGCCTGGGTCCGTGTTCGTGTGACACTCGTGGGAGGCTGGGTCCGTGTTCGCGTGACACTCACGAGGGCCTGGGTCCGTGTTCGCGTGACACTCGCGGGAGCCTGGGTCCGTGTTCGCGTGACACTCGCGGGAGCCTGGGTCCGTGTTCGCGCGACACTCGCGGGAGCCTGGGTCCGTGTTCTCACGACACTCGCAGGAGCCTGGGTCCGTGTTCGCGTGACACTCGCGGGAGCCTGGGTCCGTGTTCGCGCGACACTCGCGGGAGCCTGGGTCCGGGGTCCGTGTTCGCGTGACACTCGCGGGAGCCTGGGTCCGTGTTCGCGTGACACTCACGAGGGCCTGAGTCCGTGTTCGCGCGGTACTCGCGGGAGCCTGGGTCCGTGTTCGCGTGACACTCGTGGGAGCCTGGGTCCGTGTTCGCGTGACACTCGCGGGAGCCTGGGCCCGTGTTCGCGTGACACTCGCGGGAGCCTGGGTCCGTGTTCGCGCGGTACTCGCGGGAGCCTGGGTCCGTGTTCGCGTGACACTCGCGGGAGCCTGGGTCCGTGTTCGCGTGACACTCGCGGGAGCCTGGGTCCGTGTTCGCGTGACACTCGCGGGAGCCTGGGTCCGTGTTCGCGTGACACTCGCGGGAGCCTGGGTCCGTGTTCGTGACACTCGCGGGAGCCTGGGTCCGTGTTCGCGTGACACTCGCGGGAGCCTGGGTCCGTGTTCGCGTGACACTCGCGGGAGCCTGGGTCCGTGTTCGCGTGACACTCGCGGGAGCCTGGGTCCGTGTTCGCGTGACACTCGCGAGGGCCTGGGTCCGTGTTCACGTGACACTCACGGGAGCCTGGGTCCGTGTTCGCGTGACACTCACGAGGGCCTGGGTCCGTGTTCACGTGACACTCGCAGGAGCCTGGGTCCGTGTTCTCACGACACTCGCGGGAGCCTGGGTCCGTGTTCACGTGACACTCGTGGGAGCCTGGGTCCGTGTTCGCGTGACACTCACGAGGGCCTGGGTCCGTGTTCGCGCGGTACTCGCGGGAGCCTGGGTCCGTGTTCACGTGACACTCGCGGGAGCCTGGGTCCGTGTTCGCGTGACACTCACGAGGGCCTGGGTCCGTGTTCACGTGACACTCGCGGGAGCCTGGGTCCGTGTTCACGTGACACTCGCGGGAGGCTGGGTCCGTGTTCGCGTGACACTAGCGGGGGCCTGGGTCCGTGTTCGCGTGACACTCGCGGGGGCCTGGGTCCGTGTTCACGCGACACTCGCGGGAGCCTGGGTCCGTGTTCGCGTGACACTCGCGGGAGCCTGGGTCCGGGGTCCGTGTTCGCGTGACACTCGCGGGATCCTGGGTCCGTGTTCATGCGACACTCGCGGGACCCTGGGTCCATGTTCGCGCGACACTCGCGGGAACCTGGGTCCGTGTTCGCGTGACACTCGCGGGAGCCTGGGTCCGTGTTCGCGTGACACTCGCGGGAGCCTGGGTCCGTGTTCGCGTGACACTCGCGGGAGCCTGGGTCCGTGTTCATGTGACACTCACGAGGGCCTGGGTCCGTGTTCACGCGGTACTCGCGGGAGCCTGGGTCCGTGTTCACGTGACACTCGTGGGAGCCTGGGTCCGTGTTCGCGTGACACTCGCGGGAGCCTGGGTCCGTGTTCGCGTGACACTCGTGGGAGCCTGGGTCTGTGTTCGCGCGGTACTCGCGGGAGCCTGGGTCCGTGTTCGTGTGACACTCGTGGGAGGCTGGGTCCGTGTTCATGTGACACTCGCGGGAGCCTGGGTCCGTGTTCATGTGACACTCGCGGGAGCCTGGGTCCGTGTTCGCGTGACACTCGCGGGAGCCTGGGTCCGTGTTCGCGTGACACTCACGAGGGCCTGGGTCCGTGTTCACGCGGTACTCGCGGGAGCCTGGGTCCGTGTTCACGTGACACTCGTGGGAGCCTGGGTCCGTGTTTGCGTGACACTCGCGGGATCCTGGGTCCGTGTTCGCGTGACACTCGTGGGAGCCTGGGTCCGTGTTCGCGCGGTACTCGCGGGAGCCTGGGTCCGTGTTCGTGTGACACTCGTGGGAGGCTGGGTCCGTGTTCATGTGACACTCGCGGGAGCCTGGGTCCGTGTTCGTGTGACACTCGTGGGAGGCTGGGTCCGTGTTCGCGTGACACTCGCGGGAGCCTGGGTCCGTGTTCGCGTGACACTCGTGGGAGCCTGGGTCCGTGTTCACGTGACACTCGCGGGAGGCTGGGTCCGTGTTCGCGTGACACTCGCGGGAGCCTGGGTCCGTGTTCGCGCGGTACTCGCGGGAGCCTGGGTCCGTGTTCGCGTGACACTCGCGGGAGCCTGGGTCCGTGTTCGCGTGACACTCACGAGGGCCTGGGTCCGTGTTCACGTGACACTCACGGGAGCCTGGGTCCGTGTTCGCGTGACACTCACGAGGGCCTGGGTCCGTGTTCACGTGACACTCGCGGGAGCCTGGGTCCGTGTTCTCACGACACTCGCGGGAGCCTGGGTCCGTGTTCACGTGACACTCGTGGGAGGCTGGGTCCGTGTTCGTGTGACACTCGCGGGAGCCTGGGTCCGTGTTTGCGTGACACTCGCGGGAGCCTTGGTCCGTGTTCATGTGACACTCGCGGGAGCCTGGGTCCGTGTTCGCCTGACACTCGCGGGAGCCTGGGTCCGTGTTCGCGTGACACTCACGAGGGCCTGGGTCCGTGTTCGCGCGGTACTCGCGGGAGCCTGGGTCTGTGTTCATGTGACACTCGCGGGAGCCTGGGTCCGTGTTCGTGTGACACTCACGAGGGCCTGGGTCCGTGTTCACGTGACACTCGCGGGAGCCTGGGTCCGTGTTCGCGTGACACTCGCGGGAGCCTGGGTCCGTGTTCGCGTGACACTCGCGGGAGCCTGGGTCCGTGTTCATGCGACACTCGCGGGAGCCTGGGTCCGTGTTCGCGCGACACTCGCGGGAGCCTGGGTCCGTGTTCGCGCGACACTCGCGGGAGCCTGGGTCCGTGTTCGCGTGACACTCGCGGGGGCCTGGGTCCGTGTTCGCGCGACACTCGCGGGGGCCTGGGTCCGTGTTCGCGCGACACTCGCGGGGGCCTGGTTCCGTGTTCGCGCGACACTCGCGGGGGCCTGGGTCCGTGTTCGCGCGACACTCGCGGGGGCCTGGGTCCGTGTTCGCGCGACACTCGCGGGGGCCTGGGTCCGTGTTCGCGTGACACTCGCGGGGGCCTGGGTCCGTGTTCGCGCGACACTCGCGGGAGCCTGGGTCCGTGTTCGCGTGACACTCGCGGGAGCCTGGGTCCGTGTTCGCGTGACACTCACGAGGGCCTGGGTCCGTGTTCGCGCGGTACTCGCGGGAACCTGGGTCCGTGTTCGCGTGACACTCGCGGGAGCCTGGGTCCGTGTTCGCGTGACACTCGCGGGAGCCTGGGTCCGTGTTCGCGTGACACTCGCGGGAGCCTGGGTCCGTGTTCGCGTGACACTCGTGGGAGGCTGGGTCCGTGTTCGCGTGACACTCACGAGGGCCTGGGTCCGTGTTCACGTGACACTCGTGGGAGGCTGGGTCCGTGTTCATGTGACACTCGCGGGAGCCTGGGTCCGTGTTCTCACGACACTCGCGGGAGCCTGGGTCCGTGTTCACGTGACACTCGCGGGAGCCTGGGTCCGTGTTCACATGACACTCGCGGGAGCCTGGGTCTGTGGTCGCGTGACACTCGCAGGAGCCTGGGTCCGTGTTCGCGCGGTACTCGCGGGAGCCTGGGTCCGTGTTCGCGTGACACTCGCGGGAGCCTGGGTCCGTGTTCGCGTGACACTCACGAGGGCCTGGGTCCGTGTTCGCGCGGTACTCGCGGGAGCCTGGGTCCGTGTTCACGTGACACTCGCGGGAGCCTGGGTCCGTGTTCGCGTGACACTCGCGGGAGCCTGGGTCTGTGGTCGCGTGACACTCGCGGGAGCCTGGGTCCGTGTTCGCGCGGTACTCGCGGGAGCCTGGGTCCGTGTTCGCGCGGTACTCGTGGGAGGCTGGGTCCGTGTTCGCGTGACACTCGCGGGAGCCTGGGTCCGTGTTCGCGTGACACTCACGAGGGCCTGGGTCCGTGTTCGCGCGGTACTCGCGGGAGCCTGGGTCTGTGTTCGCGTGACATGTGCAACGTCCACTCATGCTCTGCACACATCCATGGTCCCCCACTGCCCATGTGTGTGAGGAGGCCAGTCTGTGGAATGAGCTCTAAAACTTAGGAAGACTTGGGGTTTCTTCACTATCCATGATGTAAGTTCTAGGCCCAGGCAGAAAACATGCTCAGAGTCCAGGGCTAGAACCCTACCCAACTGCATCAACCAGTCAGTCATTATTTTAAACACCAACAGACTAATGTGCCAATTAAAAAGTCAAAACGAAACTGGGAACTGGTTACTCACACCTGTAATCCAGCTACTCAAGAGGCTTAGATCAAGTATAATGGTTTGAAGCCAGCCTGGGCAGGACAGTCCATGAGACTCTGATCTCCAATGAACAGAGGGGGAAAAGACCGAAGGTGGAGCTAAGGGTCAAAGAGCATTAGTCTTGAGCAGAAGAAGGTTGAGGACAGCACTGAGTTCAAACCCAGAGTTCAAGCCCCAGGACTGTCATACATACAAAAAAAGACAGACTGTTGGAGTGAAATGACAGGCTTGGGCCAAAAAAATCAGACCCAGCTGAGCACCGCCTCTGAGATGGCCACTTTGAATGAAAAGGTGGAGGAAGAGGCCATGCTGACCCACGAGTCAAAGGAAACAAAGTGGTCCCAGTAATCTAATCTTAGACCAAACACGGTCCTGTAAGGAGCCAATCAGAAACACTAATCGCCGTAGGTGCATGCCTGCTATGAGCAAACAGTACAAAGCAAGTGTGCTGGGGAAGAGGGCGAGAGCAGGTGCGAGCGCCACCGGCAGGCAGGGAAGGAGGGTGGGTGACACCGGCACAGATCCTGGCACGTGTGTGCCGCTGGCTCCTCAACAGCCGTGAGCCCAGCCACCCCGTCTGCTCCGTCACCTTGACACACACCAGCAGAGCTCAGGCTGGCTCCCTGGAGAGGCTGACGAGCCACTGCCGAGTCCTGTGCGGGGCACGGCGTGTCCAGGCAAGTCCTGGACCTGCACAGGAGACTCAGAGCACCAGCATCTCCCAGGGCCAGCCTCTGTGCAAGGCCATGCCCCAGAAGGGTCCCAGCTGTGCCCGCTGGGTGGTTTCTCTGGGACACATCAGAGTTGGCCCAGGAATGTGGGCCGGGGCCTGCTTCCTACTGCTTTGTCAAAAGGGCTTCCAGCATGAAGAGACCACTAGCTCCACCCAGCCTCCGTCCTCATGGTCATAGTAGCCCCTGTTTTCTTATGACTCTATTTCCATGAGCAATTTCACTTGCAAGACTCCATCCACAGCATTCTGGACACTTACTGGCTTGTACAGGTCTCGGTCCGTTTTTGCTTCCATCTCCCAGACATGGTGGCCATCTGTGGGGGGGAGGCAGAAAGAAATCTGTCAGTATGTGTGGCGGGAGCCATCCCTAGCCTCCCAGGGATGGGACGTGGGGCAGGACGTCCCTGTACACGGGCTCAGGGGGGACGTGGGGGGGGACGTCTCTGCACACAGGCTCAGGGCTCAGGGGGGACGTGGGGGGGACGTCCCTGCACACAGGCTCAGGGATCAGGGGGGACATGGGGGGGACGTCCCTGCACACAGGCTCAGGGGGGACGTGGGGGGGACGTCCCTGCACACAGGCTCAGGGGGGACGTGGGGGGGGACGTCCCTGCACACAGGCTCAGGGCTCAGGGGGGACGTGGGGGGGACGTCCCTGCACACAGGCTCAGGGCTCAGGGGGGATGTGGGGGGGGACGTCCCTGCACACAGGCTCAGGGCTCAGGGGGGACGTGGGGGGGGACGTCCCTGCACACAGGCTCAGGGCTCAGGGGGGACGTGGGGGGGGACGTCCCTGCACACAGGCTCAGGGCTCAGGGGGGACGTGGGGAGGGGGACGTCCCTGCACACAGGCTCAGGGCTCAGGGGGGACGTGGGGGGGACGTCCCTGTACACAGGCTCAGGGCTCAGGGGGGACGTGGGGGGGACGTCCCTGTACACAGGCTCAGGGGTCAGGGGGGACGTGGGGGGGGACGTCCCTGCACACAGGCTCAGGGCTCAGGGGGGACGTGGGGGGGGGGACGTCCCTGTACACAGGCTCAGGGCTCAGGGGGGACGTGGGGGGGGGGGACGTCCCTGCACACAGGCTCAGGGCTCAGGGGGGACGTGGGGGGGGACGTCCCTGCACACAGGCTCAGGGGGGACGTGGGGGGGGCGTCCCTGTACACAGGCTCAGGGCTCAGGGGGGACGTCCCTGCACACAGGCTCAGGGTGGGACGTGGGGGGGCGGGACGTCCCTGCACACAGGCTCAGGGGGGACGTGGGGGGGATGTCCCTGTACACAGGCTCAGGGCTCAGGGGGGACGTGGGGTGTCCAGGGCACATGGGCTCAGGAGGGACTGCAGGAGGCTACTGCGCGGTGGGCACTGTCAGGTTGAAGGCTGGGCCCATGGGCCGCCAGTCCTCACAGACACCACTCACGCTGGCCTGTCCCAGGCAGTGGAGCCACCGCCTCGGGCAGCCCAAAGACAATGATTCTGTGGCTCTTTCCAACCTGTCCAGCGGGAAGGTCACACAGAACACACATCTGTGGCAGTCAGCACAAAATGGACAGGGCCTCAGCGCCCGAGCTCCATCACACACGTGCCCCTGGCCCCGCACGGGTCTGGACAGGGCCTCAGCCTCCACGTCCCAGGGACCGCAAACCCGCTCACTACCGGGGCTGCAGCCCGCTGTGCGGCCTGGCTTGCATGCCTCCATCCCAGCCTCCCGCGTGTACGGGGACCAGAAATCAGAGTGAGGCCACCCCTACCCTGAAGGACTACTGGGAAAACAGGAAAAACTTCCTTTGACGACTTCTTGCCACTGGGATTCAGAAATGCAAAGCACACGGCATTTTTAACCTGAGCCCAGTGACTGTTTGCATGCTTAAAAATATGAAAAAGGCTTCCGGAAACACAATGAAAGACCGCATTGTGCTTAGCCAGCCTGAGGTGTGAGCTGGCCATCGCTGCCCCTCCTGGGCTGCTTTACGCCCTGTGCCGCCAGGTCCCCCGTGAGCCCTGCCTGAGGCAGCGGGCTGACGGGAGCCACAGTCACCTCCCCTCCACGGCCTCCACCGTCTCCAGATGAAGTCAGCTCCCAGTGTGAGCGGTCCTAGGCGTACACACCGAGAGCTTGCTCACGGTCCATTTGCAAAGAGCACGTGTGCGGATATGTTCAATCCAGCGCATCACTGACAAGAGAGACACCATCCCCTCCCTGGGTGCCGGCGGGCAGAGGGAGGACGGGGTGAGTCACCCGGGCCCTGAGAGCCACCCAGCCAAGCTGGCCAGCGCCCTTTGGGAAAACATCAGGAACCTAAAGATACACTCAGCCCCTCCCACAGCACCCAAGCCACCCGAGGCGACTCCCAGCCCCGGAGCCTCCGAGAGGCTGGCCAAGAGGCCCTTCAGCTCCAGCCACATGTGCAGATGCCCACAGGGGTCTGCCACAGGGCTGCCTGCTGCAGGCTCCCTGCACAGACCTGGCACACGGCGGGGGCAGGCAGGACAGCTTCTGAAGTGTCTACCGGCAGGCCCCTCCCCTTCCCCTCCCCCGCCACCGCCAGACGGCTGCTGGCCAGGCGAGCCCACCTCACGTGGCTTGGACAGCCTGGATCTCAACCTCCCTGAAGTGTCACCGAGAAAGCCGTGGCGGGGCGCCAGCCCTCGCTGTCGGGAGGAGAGGCAGCACGCACGCTGGGAGGGGAGAAGGGGGCTGAGCTGTCTGCTCCAACCCAGGACGCAGGCCCCCTGCACAGCTGAGAGTCAGGTGAGGCACGCTGCAGAGTCCGGAGTCCATGCGCGGGAGAAAGGAACTTCCCCTCCCTGCCAGGGAGCCGGGAGCCACCCAGGCTGTGTGGCCAGCCAGCCCGTGCCCAGCACCCTAAGGACATGTGCGAGCTGCCTTCCGAGCTCACTTGAGCCACACACAAGTTTCCCACTGAAATCTGCTTTCGTGGCCCTCCCATCCCGGGCCTCCCCGGCGGCCGCAGCCCAGCTGGAGGACAGGGCTAAGGACCATGCTCCATCTGGTCTGTTAAAGGAGCCAGGTGGTTCTGGTCAGAGTATGTTCTTAGCGGTTGTTTTCGGCCAGGGCACAGATGGGAGAACCGTGGAGCGGGCTCAGAAGCGGCACTCCGGGGACCCCGACGGGGCCCAGGCCCTCGGTCAGCGCGGCCCGCGGCATCCCCCCACAGCGCCCACTCTCAGAGCAGGCCGGCACAGCCGCCCCCACCCTGCCTCCAGCGGGAGGCAGAGCCTCCTGAAAGGGCCTTTGTGTTGTCTTATCGAGCTCTCTGGGATCCTCGGTTGGAAACTGCGCCCGAGTCCAGAAGTAAAAATATTCCGAATCATTAGGGAATTCCCTGCAGCGTGAGTCATCGGAAAGGCTTCCCTGCCACACCCGCGGCCTCCTCGGCGCGGGCTCCCACCGGCCACAGGACGCCACCCAGTCCCACAGGCGTCACACGCCCGCAGGCCGAGCCACCGAGCCCTGTGCCACCGTGCCAGCGGCCCGCACCGGCCCTCTTCCTGGCATTGTTGTGTGTCCTCTGCCTGAGTGCCCCTCAGCCATACCAACCAGGACAAGGAGTGGGGCCCGTGCCTTCCCTCCCCATGGGAGCTGGAGATGGGGCCCAGCCCAGGGCGCGCACTGTGGCTCCTCGGCCTCCGGTCCCCTCCAGGACCACCTGAGCGAGGTGGCCCCTAGTCCGCCCGGACTCGTTCTTCCTGGCCGCGTCCCCCCCCAACGGCTTCCACTGCTGGCTGCTTAGGAAACTGCCTGGTGGTGCCAGAGCACTGAACAGAGAGGCAGTGTGACAGTTCACTGCACCGGGAATGCGCGGGGGCGTCACATGCGTGGACACGGGCCCTCACACGTGAACTTCACAACAGCTCCATTCATGGGGAGTGCGCAGGGGTCAGCAGCCCATATCGGTCAACGGATGAACGGGCACAGACAACATCTGCGCAGCCAGACCAACGGAGAGGATCCGAGTTTGTTGGCCTGAGAGAGGGGCATTGGGCACTGCTTCCCGCTGCAGCTGTGACTGGGTGTCCCGGGGCCCCATGCTCACCCAGGGGAGGGCGTGGTGCTGGTGTACACACACACACACACACAGGAATGCGTGTGGCAGGACCTGTGTGGGATGAGGGGAGGGCGTGTGCTGGTGTATACACACACACACACACACAGGAATGCGTGTGGCAGAACCTGTGTGGGATGAGGGGAGGGCGTGTGCTGGTGTACACACACACACACACACACACACAGAGGAATGCGTGTGGCAGGACCTGTGTGGGATGAGGGGAGGGCGTGTGGTGGTGTACACACACACACACACACACACACACAGGAATGCGTGTGGCAGGACCTGTGTGGGATGAGGGGAGGGCGTGGTGCTGGTGTACACACACACACACGCACACACACACACAGGAATGCGTGTGGCAGGACCTGTGTGGGATGAGGGGAGGGCATGGTGCTGGTGTACACACACACACACACACACACACACACAGGAATGCGTGTGGCAGGACCTGTGTGGGATGAGGGGAGGGCGTGTGCTGGTGTACACACACACACAGGAATGCGTGTGGCAGGACCTGTGTGGGATGAGGGGAGGGCGTGTGCTGGTGTACACACACACACACACACACAGGAATGCGTGTGGCAGGACCTGTGTGGGATGAGGGGAGGGCGTGGTACTGGTGTACACACACACACACACACACACACAGGAATGCGTGTGGCAGGACCTGTGTGGGATGAGGGGAGGGCATGGTGCTGGTGTACACACACACACACACACACAGGAATGCGTGTGGCAGGACCTGTGTGGGATGAGGGGAGGGCGTGTGCTGGTGCACACACACACACACACACAGAGGAATGCATGTGGCAGGACCTGTGTGGGATGAGGGGAGGGTGTGGTGCTGGTGTACACACACACACACACACACGCACACAGGAATGCGTGTGGCAGGACCTGTGTGGGATGAGGGAGGGCGTGTGCTGGTGTACACACACACACACACAACACACACACACAGGAATGCGTGTGGCAGGACCTGTGTGGGATGAGGGGAGGGCGTGTGCTGGTGTACACACACACACACACACACAGGAATGCGTGGCAGGACCTGTGTGGGATGAGGGGAGGGCGTGGTGCTGGTGTACACACACACACACACACACACACAGGAATGCGTGTGGCAGGACCTGTGTGGGATGAGAGGAGGGTGTGGTGCTGGTGTACACACACACACACACACACACACAGAGGAATGCGGGTGGCAGGACCTGTGTGGGATGAGGGGAGGGCGTGGTGCTGGTGTACACACACACACACACACACACAGGAATGCGTGTGGCAGGACCTGTGTGGGATGAGGGGAGGGCGTGTGCTGGTGTACACACACACACACACACACACAGGAATGCGTGTGGCAGGACCTGTGTGGGATGAGGGGAGGGCATGTGCTGGTGTACACACACACACACACACACAGGAATGCGTGTGGCAGGACCTGTGTGGGATGAGGGGAGGGCGTGTGCTGGTGTACACACACACACACACACACAGGAATGCGTGTGGCAGGACCTGTGTGGGATGAGGGGAGGGCGTGTGCTGGTGTACACACACACGCACACAGGAATGCGTGTGGCAGGACCTGTGTGGGATGAGGGGAGGGCATGTGCTGGTGTACACACACACACACACACACAGGAATGCGTGTGGCAGGACCTGTGTGGGATGAGGGGAGGGCGTGGTGCTGGTGTACACACACACACACACACACACACACACACGCACACAGGAATGCGGGTGGCAGGGCCTGTGTGGGATGAGGGGAGGGCGTGTGCTGGTGTACACACACACACACACACGCACACAGGAATGCGTGTGGCAGGACCTGTGTGGGATGAGGGAGGGCGTGTGCTGGTGTATACACACACACACACACACACACAGGAATGCGGGTGGCAGGGCCTGTGTGGGATGAGGGGAGGGCGTGTGCTGGTGTACACACACACACACACACGCACACAGGAATGCGGGTGGCAGGGCCTGTATGGGATGAGGGAAGGGCGTGATGCTGGTGTACACACGCACACACACACACACAGGAATGCGGGTGGCAGGACCTGTGTGGGATGAGGGAGGGCGTGTGCTGGTGTATACACACACACACACACACACACAGGAATGCGTGTGGCAGGGCCTGTGTGGGATGAGGGGAGGGCGTGTGCTGGTGTACACACACACACACACAGGAATGCGTGTGGCAGGACCTGTGTGGGATGAGGGGAGGGCGTGTGCTGGTGCACACACACGCACACAGGAATGCGGGTGGCAGGACCTGTGTGGGATGAGGGGCCGCGGGTCAGGGCTGGGCTGGCGCTCGGGCCCTTTCGGGCCGGCCCAGGCCACACCCCCTCCCGTGTGTCCTGTGTGAGTGTCCTTCCTCCCACCTCCCCTGCTGCCCTTTCCCACATGGCCTTCTTTCTCCCTTCCTTCCTCTGGGATGTGCTCTCAGGGCTCTCCTCCTCGCCGGGCAAGGGTGCGGTCGGAGTGTGCCGTCCACGAGGAGGGCCCCAGGGCTACACACCATCGATGGGAGCTGGCATCCCTGCTAGCAGCCAAGCTCCAGGGACAGGGGGCATCTCAGCTCTGCACCCCAGACCACCGCCCCCCCCCCCACTCCCCGACACCTCCTCTGGCCCTGGGCCCTCAGGCCCCACACCAAGGCCTTCCTAAGGACAAGGGAGGTCAGACTTGGAAGGCAGAAGCAGAGCCACAGTGAGCAGCGCGTGCGCCGCTCTCACTAGAGAGAAACGACCGCACGCCTGAGCTGGGGTGGTGTCTGTGCTGGCGTCTGTGCTGGCTCGGGTGAGTCCTCACGGCTGACAGCACTATCCACAGCCTCCTGGGAGGAGGCTCCCTCTGGAGAGGCAGCCCCGTCTGCCCACCCGGCCTTCGCAAATGTCCTCAGCTCACAACGTAACCTTGTTCAACAAGAGCAGCAGTTTGAAACTCTACACTGGACTAGGTGACAGCTCATCCGAAGACAGGAGGGCAATTTTGTTTTAAATTTAAGTTTACTGGTTCCTCAAACCAACCACCACCACCAACAACAAAAACCTAGAAAGCCAGCTGCTAGACTCTCACACCTGTAACCCTAGCAACTTAGAGGCTAAGATCTGAGGATCACGGTTCAAAGCCTGCCTGGGTATATAAATCTACAAGACTCTTACCTCTAATTAACCAACAAAGGCCAAAAGTGGAGGTGAGGCTCAAGCAGTTGAGCACCAGCATTGAGCAAAAAAAGCCAAGCAAGGGGCTGGGAAGGTGGCTCAGTGGTAGAGCACTTGCCTTGCATGCATGAGACCCTGGGTTCGATTCCTCAGCACCACATAAGCAAAAAGAAAAAAGCCGGAATTGGTGCTGTGGCTCAAGTGGTAGAGTGCTAGCCTTGAGTTGAAGAGCTGAGGGACAGCGCCCAGGCCCAGAGTTCAAGCCCCATGACCGGACCCAAAAAAAAAAAAAGAAGCCAAGCAAGAGTGTGAGGCCCTGAGTTCAAGCAGGCCTCAGAACCAACACACCCATGAAATCACACACAGACACTCACAGACACACACAGCTTGTCACCAAGGTGAGCGTGTCAGGTGGCACAATGCTTAGTGAGCAGCCAAACTTAAAGACAGAAACTTCGGTCGTTAGTCGCTCCTTTCTTTCTGAAACCTACAATTTAGACCTACGCACGTACAGTATTATGCACATAACCTAAATAGTAGAAACCAAATGCCAACACTGGCTAGAAGCACTACTGTAACGCTCCCCTCTCCTGCTCTGGGGGAAGTGTGTGTGCCTGTGATGTCTGCTCACTTACTGTGTCTGCTGTGTGCTGGCGTCAGGCAGGGCTGCAGACCCGGCCCGCGGCCTCTCAGGCTAAGTTTCACGCAGGAGCAAAGCAAGTGCAGGGCAGAGACTCAGAGTGGGCGCCACGGGCGAGCCCTCTGCCAGCACAGTCGCCCGGGGCCGCGTGCCGGGGGCGGGCGGCTGCACCTCACTGCCCTGTGCTGGGCTCCGACCGCCTGCTGCTGCGGGCACTGGAAAGCTGACTTCACAGGAGCCGACTGTGCCACTGGCCCCAAGACCTCCGGAGCCTCCACCGCCCCAAAAACCCAAAGCAGGAATGAAAGTGTGCAAGGAAGCTGGAGCAACCCAGCCTGGGACGCGGCTGCCAGGCACCGGCCCCTGTGGTCACAAATGTCGCACGGTACAGGGCCCAGGGAGGGTCTGAGGCCCCGTCCAGTGCAGGCCGTGTCAGAATGCGCCTCCTCCAGGGAAGGCGTGCTCTGGGCACGTTCTCCTTTTTATCACACTTAGTTGAGTTTTCTCTGTGATTTAGAATGTGTGTGATTACATAGGCCAGCAGAGTTAAACATGGAAGACGTCTATGCTGTGCTGATTGGCGTGCTTCAGTTTCCCGTGAGCACACAGAATCGGGACCCGGCCATGCGGGGTTCCACGCCTCCGTGGTTTTCGGTGATTACAGTAAGTACTGGATGGGCTGCTTCAAAAATATTCTAGCTGTTAAGTGTAGAAAAGAAAAAAGGCCTTCAGGCAACTCTCCCACGCCCACCGGGGCACGGCGGGCGTCCTGGGACCCGCTGGGACAGGTGGGGCCACGGGCCCATGTCGGGAGCCACTCAGGAGCCCGGCTCCGCACGTGCACACAGCCCCACACGGTGCCACACTGCCCCGAGACCCTCTCCTGTCAGGGCCCGCGCGGTCTGGCCCAGGAATCCACCTTCCTTCGCAACCACGCGTCAGTGAGCACAGGCTCCTCCACAACCCAGCAGTAGCCGGTGTCTGCCACTCTGCTCACAGCCCCACAGAGCACACATCTCCACCCGGAGCGAGGGGTCGCCGCACGGCCCCGGCATTCCAGGGTCCTGGCACAGCCCTGGTCCCTGAGTGAAGTGACCCACAGCCACAGTCCTGATCGCCCACATCTCTCCAAGCCTGGCCTCCCCAGACGTGGCTCCAGCAAGACTCTCAGGATACTCCACCAACCATGAACTGCCCCTGCACCGGCCACGGAGGCACTGCCAGCCTGGACACCACCAGCAAAAGGCCCTGGCTCTGGTGCCCCCAGAGGCTCCTCCCAGGCCCTGCATGGTCTACAACTCTTCTCCCTCCCCCTTTTTCCTTCATCTCCCTCTCCCCGCCCCCACAGGCATGTATGCACACGCGCACACAAGTGACACAGAAAGTTGCAGTAAGAACAGCAGCAGCAGCTGTTGCAGCAGCTACAGTCGAGGCACCGTGAAGGGAGCAGGTCTTTGCTTGCTGTGCCCACCATGCCCCATGCCTCTCCTGGGGCTGGGGAGCTCTCCCAGAAGTGGGAGGGGACAGTGCTCAACAAAGCAAGGCTAAAGGAGAAAGGCCAGAAGTGCCAGCAGCTCCATCAGTGCCAGGCCAAGGACCCAGACACAGCCAGCTTCTCCCGGTCCCCTCAGGAGCCCACCGCAGGCCTCCTCGGGGCTGACCGTGAGGGCAGAAGGGACTCTGACCTGCCTGCCAGCAGCACAAACCCGTCACGGGCGGCAGCCAGCTACACGCACAGCGGGGTCGTGAAGGTAGCCGGCAGGAACCCCCCACCAGGAGCCGAACCCCACATCACCCACCCCAGGACATACCTGGAGCCTTCTCCACAAAAATGACCTTGGAGTCTTGCAAGAAGTTATGACCGGACAGGACCATCTTCTTCCCGCCGACGACCGGGTAGCTGTCTGTGCTCTGCCCCTCCACCAGGGGCAGCTCCTGGGCAGACCGCTGGGCTGTGGGAGGGGGCACTGTCAGCAACAGGCGGAGCGGGACGGGGCGCTGGGGCCCAGGGCTGCTCTCTGGCTGACCAGTTCCTTAGATCTGTGGTATGTCTCCTATCCAATCTCAAGCCGGACAGAGGGGCGCTGCTCCAGCTAGCAAGGTGGGGCACACAGACTCCCTCCTCTTCCTCATCCTACGGCCAGGACACGGCCCTCAGAAGCGGGAGGGAATGAGGCCACTGGCCCTCGGTGCCAGGTCCCGGTCCTGATCCTGGCTCCCGCAAGAGGCTGGTACATGTGGGTTGGGCGGATGGGGGCACCTGGGAGAAGGTGGCAGAGGGGCGGGGCCCTGGGATGAGGGGGGAGGGGCCCCCATGTCAAGGATGTGCAGGAGCTGAAACCAGGAGGGGAGGGGAGCCCGGGCCGCAAGGAGAGGTGTGGGGGCCGCAGGGAGCCGTCGCCAGTCCAGCTCATGCAGATGTGGTACTGGGCACACCTGTCCTACGCGGCGTCCTCGGGACCTAGGGCAGACGGGCCCCACGCCCCGGGGAGACGGGAGGTGGCGGATGGCCAGGGACCCCCAGTCTCAGTGTCTGTGGCCCGATGACCTGGCCCACTGCAGGGGATGATCAGGTGGGCACGGGCGGCTGGACACAGCGGGCGCTGCCCGCGCCGGGCCTCGGGCACAGACACCGGGAGCTAGGAAGCTCTGCAGCGGGAATGTGAGGGCTGTGAGGGCTGTGCATCAGGGCCCCTCGTGAATGTACCAGTTCTCAGCACAGTCCCTTCTGCTTCTCAGGAACACCAGGATTTACACATCCCTGGCTACAAGTGGGAAGCTATGGCCCAGGCAGACCCTCCAGTCCCATCACTTTCCAGGGGACACCCTAAAACACACGGCCGATGGCAGTGTCTTCAGGCGGGCGGGGACAGTGCACAGGGCTGGATGCTGGCTCTCCCCGGTCCCCGTGCTTGGAAGGGCCTGTACAGTTACTCACAGCACTCGATGGGGTTTGAGGCAACCTGGAGGGACAGCATGCGGCCGCTGGGCTGAGGGATGTGGACGCGGAACACCAGCCGCACCCTGGTGTTCTTCCGGCCGATGTCGGTCTCCCCTTTGCGCAGCTCGATGTCAGAGTTCCTGAGCTTCAGAATCCCGGCGCAGTCGATGCTGCCCAGAAGAAAGGGGCTTCAGTCTCCAGCACCCACCTGGGAGAACCCGGCGCCTCCAAGCCCATGCCGGGCAGCCCCGCCCACTGTCTGTGCGGGGCCCTCAGCTCACGGCCCCCCAGGGGCCTGAGGTGCCCAAGGGCAGAGGAGCCTCTGGCATCGACATGGTCACCAAGGCAAGAGCTACACGCCTGGAAGTCACCCCCTTCCCTGGGGACACACCGTCCAGAGGCTGCAGGCCTACCCTGCCCCAAAGCCTCCCAGAGGAGGGGCCTACTGGACACACCTCCTCTGTGGACTTGCAGCCTTCGGAGTGCTGAGGGTTAGGCCACCATTTCCCTTACTTGACTGCAAACATCACTCATTTTCTCATGAAGCCCCTCCCTGCTTTGTTTTATTGGTCGTGGGGCCTGAACTCTGGGCCTGGGCGCTGTCCCTCAGCTCTTCAGCTCAAGGCAAGCGCTCTACCGCTCGAGTCACAGCGCCACTTCTGGTTTTCTGGTGCTTAATTGGAGATGGGAGTGTCACGGATTAGTTTTGAATTGTGATCCTCAGATCTCAGCCTCCTGAGTAGCTAGGATGACGGACGTGGGCCACCTGTGCCCAGCTTGAAACCCTTTTCTTTTAGGGTTTCAATTTTATTTTCCCTCAAGAGTTTCTATCATTTCATTCAAATCTAAGTCCCAAGCTGGCACCAGTGGCTCACACCTGTCATCCTAGCTATTCAGGAGGCTGAGATCTGAGGATCATGGTTCAAAGCCAGCCTGGGCTGGAAAGTCCATTAGACTCTTTTTGGGGGGGCTGGGAAGGTGGCTCAGTGGTAGAGCGCTTGCCTTGCATGCATGAGGCCCTGGGTTCGATTCCTCAGCACCACATAAGCAAAAAGAAAAATGCCGGAAGTGGCGCTCCCGGCCGACCTCCAATCCCTGGAAGACCTGGGTGGCAGCTGCAAAGCACCCTCAGGGGTTTGGATCAAATGTGTCTAGATTCCCTCAGATTCGTGGGAAGCCCTTTTTTTTTCTACTTGGAGGGTTTCCAGGCTATGAAGAATGCGTCAAATCCACAGGAGTTCTGCGCGGGCAGCTCCTGCGCGCCAGGCCAGCGTGGACCTGGCACCCCTGCCGGTGAGCACCCCACCGCAGCTCCTGCGGCCTCTGCTGCCGAGGGTGCTGCATGGTCCCACCCCGCCCAGTCACCGCTCAGCTCAGCATCGCCTCGAGAGACCGTCCCGAGCGCCCTCGAGGACGCCCTCCGCTAGTGCCCACCCCGCCTGGCCGTTTCACGTGTGCGTTTCAGCCATCGCACACTCTGTGCACGTGTGCCTAGTATCTGCGGACATAAACCTCCAGGAACCAGCAGCCTGCTGGCTTCCCGCTGCCCTCTCAGTCCCGGGCTGCCCTGCACAGCTCACAATCCACAGGATGACGCTGGAGGGTGGTGCTTCAGCTTACTAACAGATTCACTTCTGAGCCAGCCCTGGTGCCAGCTTGGGCTCTGCCTGCCAGAGCGGGCCCCGAGAGCAACACTGTAACTCTCGGAGTGAAAACGCCAGCAGAGACCCACCTCTCGCCTGCCCAACATCTGCACTTCAGCCATGCCTCTAATGGGCAGGGCTGCACTCAGAAGGAAGCAGGTGTCATGTCTGGGAGCTAAATGCAGGCACGGGCAGAGTGCTCAGCCACGTAATTGAGACACTTATTGTCAGTGGCAAGGTGCACACTGAAATCTGGGAAGAAGCAACTCTGTTGTCACAAACAATTGTGAAGTCTACGTAGGCTGGAGCCCCGGGTGCCGGGGTGACGCCCTCCCCGAGCCCCGGGTGGCGGCTTACATGGCTCTCATGTTATTCTCGGGCAGCAGCGGGATCTCTAGGACCTTGGTGTTGGAGAGGACGGCCTCGTGGCTGGTGGTGGAGACGGTCTTGCCCGTGATCCGGTGCACCTGGTAGAAGGCGTGGGGCCGCAGCAGCCGGTCATCCGCCGTCCCGATGAACAGCTGCAGCATGAGCGGCTCTGTTTCCAAGTAACCATGTAGCTGGCACAAGAACAGAAGGTCCCATTAAGCACAGCGCATGCAAACCGCTGGAATCAATTAAATGTTTACAGCACACTTGAGCGTGAAAGGAAAGTGGCCGCAGAGCCCAGCCGTGCAGTCCCTGGGCCCCCGTTTCTCTGTAACACAATACAAGTATGTTTTTTAAGTTATCCATACAAAGTGGCTCATTGTCCTAAAGGTTATGGGGCATGCAGCTTAGCCCCAAACAACTCCTCCTGATCCCATTTCACACACATGCACACACAAATATGTATGTGTGCACACAGCCTGAGTATACACACACCCATACAGGCCATGTGCACACATGCTCACACGCACACGCACAGGCAGCTTGTACACACCTGTATGGGTGTGCACACATGTTCACACACAGGCAGCTTGTACACACCCATACAGTCTGTGTGCACACATGCTCACACACACACACACACAGAGGCAGCCTGTATACACACCCACTCACCCATACAGGCTGTGTACACGTGTGCTTACACACTAGCAGCACCAGCAATGGCAGTCCGTGGCCAGCCCAGGGCAGAGTCCTGGGCCCCACACAGCAGAACTGCCAGACATCACCACCACCATCAACTCCATACAATCCACAGAAACCACACCCAAAGCTACCTGAATTCTTCTGCAAGGATGCAGGAGGGGCCCACGCCTGCACTACGGTCCTGTCAGGGCCTCCCCCTCCCCCACACCCATGCACAGTCTCCACCCGCATCCCCACGTCCTGTGAGCCTCCCCCCCTCCCCCACACCCATGCACAGTCTCCACCCGCATCCCCACGTCCTGTGAGCCTCCTTCCCCTCCCCCACACCCATGCACAGTCTCCACCCGCATCCCCACATCCTGTGAGCCTCCCCCTCCCCCACACCCATGCACAGTCTCCACCCGCATCCCCACGTCCTGTGAGCCTCCTCCCCCACACCCATGCAGTCTCCACCCGCATCCCCACGTCCTGTGAGCCTCCCCCTCCCCCACACCCATGCACAGTCTCCACCCGCATCCCCACGTCCTGTGAGCCTCCCCTCCCCCTCCCCCACACCCATGCACAGGCTCCACCCGCATCCCCACGTCCTGTGAGCCTCCCCTCCCCCACACCCATGCACAGTCTCCACCCGCATCCCCACGTCCTGTGAGCCTCCCCCTCCCCCACACCCATGCACAGTCTCCACCCGCATCCCCACGTCCTGTGAGCCTCCCCCTCCCCCTCCCCCACACCCATGCACAGTCTCCACCCACATCCCCACGTCTGTGAGCCTCCTCCCCCTCCCCCACACCCATGCACAGTCTCCACCCGCATCCCCACGTCCTGTGAGCCTCCTCCCACTTCCCTTCCTGACGGCACAGTCTCCTCTGCCACCGCAGTGATCTTACTGTGGCCGAGGCCACAGCCCCCCTCGGACCATCAGTGGCGGCACTGGGAGTGGAGTCCTACTGTGCACCCAGCGGTGGAACCGGAGGCTGGAGCACAGCACAGAGCCAAGGCCAACCAGGGGGCAGAGGCCTGCAGGGGAGCTGGGAGGCCACGCAGCGGGGGAGCGGGGGGAGCTGGCTTGGTTTGGGGAGCACAAGCAGGGACTGCAGACAGGGTTCCTGAAAACAAGGGCAACTGGAGATCCCTGTGGCGGCGCACAGAGCTGCACAGGAGAGCGGTACCTCGCGGGGGAAACGGCCCCAGCCCCGGCCACGCATCCCTGAACTCTGAGAAAGGGAAAGGGTGACCGGGAAGGGAAGGGTTCAGACCGGCTTTCTTCCTGACCTCCGGGTGATTCCAGCCGGGTGGAGGAGGTTTGCGAGCTTCATTTTAATATACCAATTTGGAAAAAACAATGAACTTGAAAAATGGGAAACAGATAATCAGACGGTGCAATTAGCTGCTGCTGGATTTGATGTGGGCGCTGGATACTGGCTTTTTACAAGTCGGCCAGCCCCTCCCACGTCCCCATGCAAAGGCCTAGACCCAGCCCTGGCCTGGTGTGAGCTGGTCGGCTCATTACGGAGGCCAAGGCACCGTGATTTTCATTAACTCTTCTGATCCGCCAGCCCACGGCCCTTGGCCAGCACTAACACGGCCACAAGATAAAAGGCCCAGGGCTGAAAGCACACTTCAAACAGGTACGGCCTGCATCCCCTTGTTCAATTACCAGCCCCCTAGCCACCAGCAGCAGGGAAAAGATGTGTTCGCGCTTGCATCAAAGGCTAGGAGGAGAGCGGACACAGTAACTGGCTGCCTGGCCCGCCCGCGGGAGGTCTGGCCTGGCACACCAGGTGCAGACGGCGCTGAATGGAGCTCCTGACCCGTGGGGAGGGCTCACTCCCCGATGAGAGGCTTGGCACCGTCCTTCCCACCCACGCGGAGGCCAGGCCAGGTGGGCTCTGCCCAGGGCTGGCCCGAGCCCCGGGGCTCCGGGTTGAGGTTCGTCGGCATCCGGCCATGGGCCAAGGGACAGTGCCGGCCCCACCTGGCCCTCGGCACACCTCGCAGGAGTCGGATGGGAGGGTGGGACGGGTCCTCGGAGGGAGGGCCCGCAGCGCAGCTCCGAGGGGAAGCAGCCATGCCAGTGTGTGGGAAGGACTGCCTCGTCCAGAGGACAGAGGTGTGTTCGCACGTGAGTCCCGGGACAGAGCACCACCGAGGCTGGCACTCGAGAGACTCACATTAGCCGGCAAGGTGAGTGCCAGGGTGGATGAAGACTCGATCTCAGAACCGCGGTCTGGTGGCAATGGCCCCGTCAGGGCAGGCAGGTGCCCCGCCCAGCCCCGTGAGGCTCAGAGGGCACCTCAGGCCAGCACCCTGGGGAGCACTGGACACGGGACAGCAGCAGCACTGCGTGGGAAGCTGTGTGGGAGGGCGGGGCCGAGGGTGAGGCCCAGCCGCCGAGACTCTGCAGTGGCCGATGGACACAGAGCGGCTCTGGGGGCTCTGGCTTCCCGTGGGCTTCAGAGGGCAGGGCAGGGGACGTGAGCAGCAGTCTGTGTGGCAGGCGAACACAGAAATGGTGCCCTCACGTGAGCCCTCACGCGGGGTCTGGGCCTGTGGGCGGGGTGCATTTCTGTGTGCCCTCACGGGGCACGGCACCCAGACTGGACCTTCAGAGGGGTCCTTTCATGACGAAGAGCAGTGTGTGCCCCAGACCGCGTGGGTAGATGCCTCCGGTCCACTGCCGAGGGGCGTGGAGGACACATGCTGACCCGAGGCGTGTGGACTTAGGGAAGCTGCCTTGGGAAGCTTCAGTCAGCACAAGAGATAGAGATCAGAGATAGAGCGATGAACAGCCTGCCCCTCCCACGGGGGATGGTGGGAGGATACGCAGACGCCAGTCTCCAATGGCCGCCAGCGCACACAGTCCACCCTGCGCCCTGGGCAAGGAGGGTCAGTGCTCACCCTCTGTCACTCTGCCAGGTGAGTCTCTGTGAACAGGGTCCAGTGGGGCCGGGTGGCCGGCCAGCTCATCCTGTGTGTGCAACCCAGAGCTGGACGCCAGCTGTTTGCAGTGAACTTTCTAAGAAAGCTTAACTCTATTCTGGACTCAAATAGCTTTCCAATAGAAGGAAAAAGCAGATTTGGGGGCAATCTTTGCCACTGGTCATTCCATTTTGTGAAACTTACACGAGAGTAAGTTAATAACCAAAACTGTGTAGGTGGACAGGAGACCTCAGGGCTGCAGCCCAGCCTGGCCGGGGTGGGATGGCTTTGAAGAGACAAGGCAAGACTCCCCAGAGAGTCCTGGGTACAGAAGGCAGAGAACGGGGTATAATTTTATCCTTTAGAAAACACGCCATTTCAGTGAAAATGGGAACATTTCAGGCTTTAACCTGGAAGGTAAATATCTATTATTTAAAACGAAGTTCATTTTAAGAAAAGACACTTAAACTCCTTCACACTTCCTGGTGCCTGGGCCTCCGCCTCTGGCACATTCTAATATTTGTCAGAATGGTCTTTGACATATCTCTGCCTTCCCTCCTTCCACCTAACTAAACAAAATGCACGATTCCACTTTCCAGGTGTGAGAGCTACCGAGTTTCCTGTGCGTTAGATGTTTGTTTTTAGCCCCTGTGCTTACCTCAGCATTTGCACAGTGAGATGATGGACTGAGGTAAATTTATCCACTGAGCATTTAACCAGAGGCTGGTACCCGGGAGAGGGAGGCGCCAGTCAACAGAGCAGGGAACGGAACCTCGTGCCTTCTAACTAGGCTCCGTTACACACAAACTAAGCAAAAAGCATGTCGGTGACATCTTACTCCACCATGCAGACAGAGCTGCAGTAGGGTTGAAAGGAATTACTCATCTAAACCCAGAAGTCACATCCACCCCTCAAAGATCACCATGAGGGAACCCCATTCACAAACCAGTTTCAAGTTTTTCCTGTGGTGCTGGGAATCAAACCCAGGGCTCGTTTTGCTTTTATACCTTGGTTTTGTTTTCCTGCTGAGCTAACTCAAGAACAGCAGCAGCAGAAGGGATCTGCCCAGACAGGAGGGTTTCCTCCCATTCTGCTATTCCCTGCCGCAGCCGCAGGGGTCCGCAGGCCTGCCCTGCAGCCTGTGGGGCAAGGCCACACCTCCCACAGGTGCTCAGAGAAAAACCCTCTTCCTCCACAGAGCCTCAAAGGATACCAAACAGGGTTCCGATGCCCTCAGCTCTGTCCTGCCCCTTGCGGTCTAGCTAACCTACATGACATGACTCACCCACTGCCTGAGTCCTTACACCCGCAAAGGTCAGGAGCCCAGCTCCTCCAAGTGAGGGTCACACACAGCATGAGACAGGGGGAAAGACAGGGTCCTGCTGCACGACTCTGCCACCCACAGCGGCCTCAGGAAGCAGCAGTGTCTGCAGAGAACATGCTCCCAGCCTTCAGTGCTGCTTGTGCACATCTACCCCTGTGCAAGAGCATGTTTGTGTACAGGCTATGTACGCATGTTAGTATACGCACCTGTGTGTGCATTTACAGCTGTGTGTGTCCATAGATGCTG